TGGCGCAGGATAGAGCAGGGTTTAGGGCTGTTGTGCATAGGGTCGCTATGAGTCGCAACCGACTCGACGGCACATAACAACACAACACAACGTTCTGGATAAGTGGCCCATCTGGAACCGATCTAGGGAACTCTGGTGGCAAAGTTTATGGGGAGCCACGCTGCTCACCCCGAGGTGGCACCTCTCTGCGGCGCAAATCCTGCAATGGCTCCGCTGGAGAAAGAGGCACAGTCTCCTTCGGGGCGATTAAAAGCCTCTGAAAACTCCCGGGAAGGTCCGTTACAAGGAGGTTCTGACGTGCCTGCAATTGAGCAAAAGCAGTAGTGAAGCAGTTGAGAGATCCAGCCTAGTTTCTGCAGGCACTAGAGTCACACACCTGAGCACGGCCGGGAGGCGGGGCTGTGGCCCGGGGGCCCGCTGTGCTGCCGGAAGCGGCAGGTGTGCCAGCTGGTGCCTCGGCCACGCCCACGCAGCCCCCGCCCCGCCCCTCCTGGTGGGCGGGGCCACTTCCGGGTCCGCTGTGGGACGTGGCGGCGGCGGCCGTTGACCTGTTGGTCGCCGCGTCGCCTGAGGTGTAAGGGGGTTCACTGCTTGCCCCCAGCCCTCGAGCCGGCTCTCAGGGTCATGGGGTCGTGCCCCCTCCGGCCGCCGCCCTCCCCGGTCCCCTGACAGGCCCGCGCGAGGGCGTCACGCCCGTCCTGCGCCCCTGCTGGCCCACCATGAGCGCCAACCCCCAGTGGGACATCAGCAGGGCGCTGGGGATGGCCAGGCTCTTCCACCTGGTGTGTGGGGTTCGGGATGCCTGCGTGACCCCCTTCCTGACCCTCTACCTGAGGCATCTGGGCCTGACGGCGCCCTGGGTGGGCATCCTCATGGGCACCAAGCACCTGATCGCAGCCTTGTGGGCTCCCTTCTGTGCCTTCCTGGCCACGAGCTGTCAGAGGAGGAGAGCGCTGCTCGTGGGCTCGCTGCTTGGCTCCATGGGCACCAGCCTGCTCATGGTCCTGGTCCCGCCTCTGGACAACGGCCCGGTGTCGCGGGTGTGTAATGGAAGCAGCCGTGTGGCTACGACAGTCGGACCTCTGGGGGTCTCACAGGCTGTGGACCTCACCCCAACTCAAGAGTGGGCCTCACGCCACGGAGAGGAGCCTGCGAGGTTTCTAGCCAACAGTACTGAGATCATGGAAATCTCAAGTTTCAGAAACAGAGTTGAGGACAGTGACCAAGAGGTTCTCCGTCATCTGTCCAGCAACCTAGGGGACTCTGTGGAAAGAGTCAGAACAGGACCCCGAGGTCTTCTCCATCACACTGCTGCTTTTGAGGTGGTGGGTAGTGTCCTCTCCCCTCTTCCCAAGAGGACACAGCTGGGGCGTCCAGCCAACGTGTCAGTAACCCTGGAGACAGCCCAGCCCCTTGCCCTTTCCTGGCAAGGGCTGCAGTGGACTTTCATCTTCTCTTTGGGGTCCTTGGTCTTCTGGGAGCTGCTGGCAGCGCCCTTGGAGCAGGTGGCCGACGACAGCCTTTACGAATACCTGGACTTTGTGGATGCCACTGACCGCTACCGAAACCTGTGGATTTGGAGATCACTGGGCATGTCAGCAGGCGCGTGTGGCATCGTGGCTGTGGTGGGGCAGCTGGATTGTCTTTTGGTGACAAATGGCCCCAAGAGTGTGTTGCACTTCTACGGCTACTCACTGGTCAGCCCCCTCATCCTCCTGGTGAGCCTTGCCTTACCTGTTACCGTCTGCAGGCAGCAAGAGTCCAGCTCCAAAATGGGCAAAGCACTATCACTCATAAGGGGCGAACCGTATCTCATCCTCCTGGCCCTCACTGTCTTTTTGGTAGGAGCTGCAGTCAGCACTTCGCAAAACTTTCTCTTCTGGCACATGGAGGACCACGGCAGCAGCGAGCTGGTCATGGGCTTCTCAGTCGCCCTCAGCTTGCTGGGGGAGGTTCTCCTCCATCCGTTCAAGGCAGTGCTACTGGGGAAACTGTCCAGGGTGGGCATGCTGGGGCTGGGCCTGGGCTGCCTGGCTGCACAGCTGCTCTATTATTTCTTCCTGTGGAGCTGGTGGTCTGTCCTCCCCATCCAGATCCTGGGTGCCTTCAGCAGCAGGATGATTTGGTGGGCAGTGGGGGCCTCATTGGAAGACCTGGCTACTCCTGTAACAGAGAAACCTCTGACTGCCATGTTCCAAGGCCACTTGTATGGGGGTGGGTCCAGCCTGGGTAGCCTGGTAGGGGGCTTGGTGGTAATGTCCTCCAGTGTGGCCATGCTCTACCAAGCCTGCTGCGGGGTCCTGCTGTTCTGGCTGGCCTTACTCCTTGCCATCTGGAGGAGGCTACCCCAGGAGCGGAGGATCAACTACTCCAAGTTGCTGGTCATGGAGGCCAGCGATGCCAGCGACTCCGAGGAGGGGACTGAGCGGGACTGGCTTGTGAAAGCCATGAGGGAGGAACACTCAAACTGAAAGGGGTGAGAGGAAGTCATTGCCATGATGAGCTAGGAAGGAGCCAAAGGACTGGGCAGAACTCAGCCTGTTAAGAATCCTGCCCTGGACCAAGGAGAGAGTGAGGGCACACCCATGAGTGATTTTCTTTATGTAGTAAAGGTATATTTTGCTTTTTGTCACCCAATCTTTTTTTTTTTTTTCAAATAGTGGAGGAGGAATACATTTGTTAAGAAAAAACAAACAAAATCTCTTTGTATTCACTGTCCTTTGATGTATAAGGAAGGTCTTTGGGAGCTTTACTGGTACTGACTCTGGTGCTGTGGAATTCGTCAGCAGCTGAGATGATCAAAGCAAATTGGCAGGACCAGGAAGGCCCTGGGGGCCTGCAGGGTGCTTGGCACAGGGAGCTGGCTTCGATGAGTCATGTACATTCCCAGGGGTCAGAAGAGCGTTAGTGCATTTCAATAAAAGCCATGCTGTGGGCGGGTGAGGCTGGCAATGAAAAGGAAGATGCTTCTCTCCCTCCCCCGCCCCCCCATCCAGGCGCCTGCACAGAATCAGGGGTGTCCCTACAGTTGGTGTCACCCCCACCCACTGTGAACTTCCTATCATAACAAGACTGCAGAATCTTTAGTAACGTTTATTGTCAATTGCAATCCTAGACCACTATGTGATAAAGATAGCTGTCAATTGCTCAAACTTGCTATTTTTGACATAGGAATAAAAACCAAAATTGTAAATTCTACACTAAGCTACAACATTCTCAGTAATTAAATAGAAGTCTTTTAATTTTTTTCTCCTTTTCCTTTAATTAATACTCTGTTCTTGGAAAAGGTATTGAGACAGACTCACAAATACTATCATGACACTGTAAGTAAAACAAGACTATGAAAACACCAGCAGCAAAAACAACAGTTGATGTTTGCATCTCATGCAGACAAGATCCCGTGATTAGTCATGTCATTGTGAGTGGGTAGTAATGACAGCTGTGATAAGAGTACGTTTTTGCTGGGTGCTGTCAAGTCAATTCCAACCCATAGCAGCCCTGCATACAGATCAATGCGCCACCCAGCCCTGTGCCGCCCTCACAGCCCAGCTCTGGAGCCCATTGCTAAGACCACTGTGCCAATGTATCTCCTTAAAAACCTTCCTGTTTTTCTCACTGACCCTCTCAAGTGCATTGCTAATTCAAATGTCAGATGGGCGGCTTCCTCCTGTAGAGATATAGAGGCCTCAGAAACTTGATGGAGAGCCATTGTGAGTTGGACTGTATGCAACAGTAGTGGGTTTTTCATTCTATCTTTTCAAGCAATACTTCCTTCTGCAGGGACTGTTGTGGTCTGCCATCAAGTCAGAACTGACTCATTGCTGACCCTCCAGTGGGTTTTCAGAGGCGGTAAATTGTACAGCAGGAGATTGCCCATCTTTCTCCTGCAGAGCAACTGATGGGCTCAAAGTTTTGCCTTTGGGATTGCAGTGCAGCTTCTCTAGACTTCCAGAGTCACCACCTAATGACATGCCCAAAGTACATTAGAGGATTTCAAAAGGAAAATGAGCAGAATTTTAGTCTTAGGCACTGGCAAGAAGCTGTGCTGCAATCCTGAAGACACACGGTTTGAATCCACCAGCTGCTCCGCGGGAGAAGGATGGGCAGTCTCCTCCTGTCTGATTACCTACCTCTGAAAACCCACCAGAGGGTCGTCTCTGACTCAGCAGTACTCAGCAACAACACAACAATAAGCTAGGCTTACAAAATACAAGGATATTTTAATAAAAATAAATGTATGCTGAAATATTGCACACAATCTTTATAGAGGGTGCAGCTGGGGTGGCAGACCCCTCTTTTGGTAATGCCACTTGAATGAGACAGGTAGTATGTTGAAATGTGGCATTAAATAGGTTTTCCTGCTTGTGCTTAAATGTATGTGTCAGCAGGGCAAGGGTCCTTAGAATGAACCTATTTATACCGGAGCAAGGTCCATGCCCTTTGGCCCTGACTGCCTCACAGAACACGTGGCGATTTAACATGGGTTTTAATCTGGTATAGATGTTTATGCAGCACACATGCACACTAGCTGTGACCAGCCACTCGGGGTTTTGTGAGTTGTAAGCCAGCACTGCCCTCTTACCAAGCCCTCCCTGCCTCTAGGAAAGAGCATTTAAAAAAAAAAAAGAAAAGAAAAGAAAGAGCATTTGTTCCATCCTAAACACTCAATCTTTATACCTCACAATCAGGTATATAGAAGACACTGGATTAGAAAGGGGCCTCATGACTAGGAGCAGGTCTCATAGCTGGATAAAGAAAATGAACACACATGGTCAGGCTGGTGTTTGGATCGTTATCTTCTTTTCAATTACTGAATGAACATGTTATTAATTAGGAAGCTTTGTTGTTGTTATGTGCCGTTGAGTAGCTTGTGACTCATAGCAACCCTGCGTCAACAGTCCTGAAACCTGCTGTTTCCTGTGTCAACTTTATTGTCCCTGACACACCTACCCTCATTACCCCAGTCACTGTATCAATCCATCTCATAGATAGTCTCCCTCTCTTTCTCCATCCCTCCTCATTTCCAAGCATGTCCCCCTCCAAGGACCGGTCCCTCCTTACAACATGCCCAAAGTATGTTAGACGAAGCCTCAGAGTCCTTGCATCCAAGGGGTAGCCTGATCTCACTCTCTCTAGGATGAACCTGTTTGTTTCCCTGCAAGTTCATGAGTATATTCAAAACCTTCTCCAGCACCACAAACTCAAAGGCATCAATTGTCTTTCTATCATCCCTAGTCATTGTCCAGCAAGCAGTTGTGAAGACTATGGCCTGGATCAGGCACACCTTAGTCTCCAGATGGACATCATTACTCTTCAGTAATCTGAAAAGATCTCCGACAGCCTATTTTCCCAATGCAATTTGTCTCTTGATTTTTTGGCTGCTGCTGCCAAGAGTGTTGATTGTGGAGCCAAGCAAACTAAAGCTGTTAACAATCTCAATGGACTTAGTGATAGAAATGAAGCTGGAGATAGAATGATAGAATTCTGCACATTCGATGATTTATTCATTGCAAATACCTTTTATAAGAAACACAAACACAGGCTATACACATGGATTTCACCTGATGGTATGCATGGGAATCAAATAAATTACATCTGTGGAAAGAATCTCTGGAGAAGCTCAGTATCAGCTGTGAAAACTAGGCCAGGTGCTGATTGTAGAACAGACCACCAACTACTCATAAGCAAGTTCAAGCTGAAGCTGAAGAAAATCAAATCCACAAGAACCAAATTTTAAGCTCAAATTTCAAAACTTTCTCAGGAACAGGTTTGAGGTTTGAATACCAATGAGCAAACAAAGATCAAATAAGCTGTAGGAGGATATCAAGAATATCATCTATGAAGAATGCAAAATGTCAATACAAAGGCAGAAGAAGAGGAAGAAAAGACCAAGACGGATGTCAGGTGAGACTCTGAATATTGCATTGGAGCACTGAGAAGCCAAAGCAAAGGGAATAAAGCAAGAAATTAAGGAGCTGACTAGAAGATTTAAAAGGGCAGTTCGAGAAGACAAAGCAAAGTATTACAATGAAATGTACAAAGAGCTGGAGTCAGAAAATCCAAAGGACTGAACTCGCTCCGCATTTCTTAAGCTGAAGGAATTGAAAAGTAAATTCAAGCCACACATTGCAATACTTAAGGATGCTTTAGGGTACAAAGTCAAATCACCTCTACTTCAAACAATTGGAAATTCATTTGTCTCAAGCAGTCAGAGGGAGGCAATGCAGTTGGTATAGCTGCTTGCCTGTGTCACTGGGCACTTAGAATCTTTTCATCTCTTCATCAGCCTCATATTTAGGCCCCATCCCCTGCTTGTGTCTTCATAACAACAAAATAACTACTGCCTCAAGGTCTCCTGACCACAGTCCAGGCAAGAGTGAGTGAAACGAAGTGACAGGAGCGAGAACCAGCATCCGGAATACAAAAACCTTCCCAGAAACCTTTTGCTTACTCCAAACCGGGAGTATCACGTGGACACCCTAAGTAGAGTCAGGATCCTGTTGGGACAATGTCTGTCAGAGCATCCAAGGTGGAATTCACACCCAGACTTGTCTTTTCCCAAAGACTTTCCTTCACTACGCAAACTAGCTTCCCTACAGAAATGACTTGTAGCAATTTGAGCCCTATGGCAACCTTGTGGATAAATCAAAATTTATTAAATATGCTTCTTCTTGTCATTGGATGCAATCAAGTATGACCCATAGCAACTCTTTAAACAATAGTTCTGAACCCTGTCCTGTCCTATGCCAACCTCACACGTCTTGATACACTAGAGCCCACTGTTGCAGTCACTGTGTCAATCTGCCTGGTTGAGGGTCTTCCTCTTCTTCAGTGACCGTTTGCCTTCCTGAGCATCATGTTCTTCTCCAAGGAATAGCAGCTCCTAGCAACATGCCAGAAGTATGTGAGGTGAAGCTTTATCATCTTAGCCTCCAAAGAGCACTCTGGCTGCACTTTCTCCAAGTTCAGTACTATTCTCTAACACCACAGTTCAAAGGCATCAATTCAGTCATTTCTTATTCATTGTCCAGCTCTCAGCAAGTGTCCAACAAGTGATTGGAAAGACCATACTCTGAATCAGATGCACCTTAGTCCTCAAATGGGCATCATTACTCCTCAATCATTTTCAGAGGTTTCTAACTGCATACCTTCTCAGTACAATACATCTCCTAATTTTCTGATTGCTGGTACCAAGGGTGTTAATTATGGATCCAAGTAAGAAGAAATTGTTGGTAGTTTCAATCTCTTCTCCATCCACCATTATGTTGCCTATCAGTCTAGTGGTAAGAATCTCTGTGTTCATGATTTTGAAATGCAATTCGTAGTGAAGGCTACATTATTTGATCTGTGACAAGTGCTTCAAGTCCTTCTCATTTTCAGCAAGTAAGATTGTGTCACCTACATAATGCAGGTTATTGATAAGTTTTCCTCCGATCTTAATACTACATTCTTCTTCATAGAGTTCAGGTTC